ATATGAACTTTTGTTGTTATGAAGTGGATTTGGAGAATATAGGGTGAGCTTCATATTTTTCCATATAAGTGTGGGACCTCTACATGTTATCACGCATTGGAAAAACTAAGCCTGCAGCAAATGGAAACCAAGGAGCATGAAACTGCTTCTGAAAACATCTCTTTCACTGAGTTTTTTGGTTCTTGAGTGGATGTTGAAAGGCAACTTACACAATACAGAATACAATATCTTTTTGAACGGAAAACATTACTAATAGACATTAAAATATTCGACCAATCAAAAAATGAAAAAAAAAAAAAAAAAAAATAAAGAGAAAGATGATATCAACGAAGACTAAAGAATGATGTGTTCATGCACTTGATAGATACATGGACAGCAAATCAACAGGGGGTGAGAGGAATGGACTTGATGCCAGCCTAACCACACAGAAGGATTAATATGTGATGTATTGATTGATTTATAAATACAGATAGTGACAAATGAATTCAAAAGTTCTTATAATGGATATTGATAAGTATATATTTTAGTGTAATATACTACACAATATCTTCTTTAAAAAATTATTATTTTTTAATATAAAATTAAAAATAAGCAAACTCAAAGATGCAATCATACATAAATGATATAAGAATTGATTAAATTGATAATATTTATATTGTATTTTAGTAACTAAATCAAAACGAGTGTCAAAAAAATATGTTTATCCAAACATATACTAATCATTTTCATTTTATCATTCATGCTTCTAAAAGATGTATCAACATCAAATAAAAACTTAAAAGTTTAAATTAGAGATTTTATATTCAAATTTTAATAAATGTGCACACAATTTGTGAGAAAGAATTTCACCAGATGCAAATTAACTTTGGGTAAAAAAAAGGGTTGGGTGCATATAATTGTTGGGTGTTGGCATGAAAGAAAATGACCATGATGATTTTGGATCAATCCTTTCAATTATGCTTGATTAAGAAATCAAATAGTGCGACCATACATAAATGAATAAGTAGAGAAGTGTTGCGTCAAAAATTAAAGCATAGATTAGAATATACACTCTTTTAACTAACTGAAGCACTTTCTTTTGGTACCCACAACTGTTGACTCTAATGCCACACAGCTAAACCTCTTCCTCTTTGGCCCATTGAGAAGAAAGAAGCATGTAGAAGAAACTAACACAAAAGAGATGGGGCAAAAGGAAAAGAGAGGGCAGTAGTGTTCTAAGGAGGAGATCGATTCATCGTTGATTCAAAAAGAAGGCATTTAATGGAAGTCTAGTGCAGAAAGTTTGGTTACATCCATTTTTGAAATCTAATGACATTACAAACTATCATCATTACAACTGCCAAAAGAAAGGGGCCAAAAAGAGGAAGGAAAATTAAAATAAGCAACTTTTT